CCGGCGTCTTATCTTTGTAGCCGTCATAATCATCTTGGGCGTCTGATCCACCGTCCGCCTCGTCCTCGAAGGTCACCGAAAGCTTGGAGACACCCTCTTGGCCTTGCCGGATGAACCCTCGCTAGCAAACTTCAAGTCCACCGACAGGCATAGCACACCCAAACAAGCTTGTCCAGACACTTACCTTGACGCCAGACCGCGCTCGTGTGCTTGAGTGGAAATTCTGTTCTGTTATTCGTTATGCCCTTTCGGGCTCTTCCTAATATGCAATCCTAATCATGTTTACAAATATCAAGTGAACTATGATCCGTTGTGGATCGTTACACGTGCCAACAGTCACCTCAACTGTCCAGCTTCACCGATACGGACCACGCGACTTAAGTGACATCTTGGTCATAGTCGGACCCGAAGCGCGTTAGGTAGTGACGTGTCCTTGGTCATCTCGCACCATGGTCACCTCCTGTCGCATGACCAAGCGTTCGTGGCTTGAGCAACTTGAATGTAGCCACTTCAATTACTTGGAAATTGCTACACCACAGAACGTTGAGGCGGAACTCTGGTACTAGCAATCGATCTCGATACGACAACATAGCGTTCACGACAAGGTCAAACAGGAGCGATCTCCTCTTCTTCAACAGTGTTGACCCTGTTGCAAGATGTGTTGGGATCGGTAATAGATACACTACCTCCTGTGGGATAACTGTGCAGCGAAAACTTCGTTGTGCAGGCAGAAATAAATCACTTTTTCCTTTGATCTCTCTTTTCTAAGTGCACTGTTTCATATATACCCGAGCTAGGTTATGGCGCCGTCGACGATTGCCGACGACTCCAGAAGACCAACGTCAACCATTTCTCTGGATACCATCAAAGGGCAAAACTGTTGGCGCGCGCACGAAACGTCGCGCTACGTAGTTTTGCCATGGGTTTTTATTTTCCGGTACTTCTGAACAGCCCGCTCATACGGGAAACCCGTAGGCAAAATCACGTACTGACACTTCGTGGTTCTAGCTACGTATATTTTGAAACCACGTCCTTCTAAAAGCATTTGGCAACGGAATTTCGAAAACAACTTAGAATTGTGTGTGTTCTACTTAAAATTTCCATACGCGAGTCTTTGGGCGTAGGCAACCGTACACATCGGCTACAAACCCGGGTTGAATATGACTCCACATAAATACGATGAGGAAGGTAGCTGGTATAGCAGGAATTTGTATTGAGCGGTCGCTCACACAGGCCCAGACATGATCAATTGATCGAAGTTGCTATTAGCCAATGGAGGTTAACTAAGGAGCCTGTACTATCTAAGCGATATCTAGAATACCGAACCTCACAAAATAAATGACTTGGCAGAATTCGGAACTGCTTTCATCTTAACGTTAAAACATCCCGGTTTCATGAAACTGCTATTTTTGTGGTAACCCTTTCGTGGTCAATGGGGGTATTTTGCCCCCCCCCCCCCCTTTTTGAGGGTGTATCCTCGAGTACCACTCGTATCACCCATGAAAGGGGGCATAATGCCCCCTTTCATTGAATTTCGTGTGTGGAAGAGACAGAATCGCCCTTTCTACTTGGACTACAAGGATTTGCAGGAGATTTGCTGTAGTACCGTAGTTTATGAAAGGGGACAAAATGCCTTCTTTGCCGGCCTAATGACTTGGCCTTCTAAAGTTTAATATAGCCAGGTCAAAAGTGTCCGTTCACGAAAGG